AGAGAGAGAGAGAGAGAGAGAGAGAGAGAGGAAGGGAGAAAAAGAGTCAGGGGAAGAGAGAAAGACAAGGGGAAGAAGAAAAAAAATGGTAAAGATAGGAGAAAAAGAAAGAAGAAAAACGAGATAGTAGAAAATACAGAAAATTCGATAAAACAAACTGTAAAAAAAAACATCCTCCTTCTCCTCTCTCCCATTCCCTCCCCCCTTCCACTTTCCAGGTAAAAAATAACCAGTTCAGGAATCCTTTCTCTAACAACAATTTAGACACAAAAAATAAAAATTTGGACAATGCCGTTAATTTGAAAAACAGTTTGAATAAAACACTGTCTATATATCAACATCCTATTGTTCCGGAACTATACGTCACTTTCTAGAAGAGATTGTAACTTCATCAGCCCTGAAAATTTAAACAAAGGTAGCATTCAGCATTTTTATGAGTATAACGGAGCCGGAGTATCATGATTTTAAACAGCATTCATTAATTGTAGGTTTCGATGCTAGGTATCGTTGATAGAATACTCTCGAAATGAGCTATTTCTGTCCAATTCTTCTTTTTAAAAAAAAGGTTCTTGAACAACACACAGTAAACCAAGCTAAAAAAATCAGGGCATTGCACACTGCACAGTGGCCACCAGTAGTAATGTGTGGATTGTCTATGTTTGTGATACTGTGTATGTATTATTCATGCATTCATGTGTTAATTATATTGTGTTCGGGTATCTGTGTATGCCATTGTTTTAATTAATTTTTTTAAATAAATGAACAAAAAAATTCCAAGAGGATCGATAAAGTGTGATTTATTATTACTAAATAAACATTTTTAACAAAAAATTCATTTTTTAAAAAACTTAGAATATAAATGCGGTTACAACAAGACTGTTTGCAATTAGTCTCCACTGTAGTAGCGATCGAAAGAAAAACATTGACATGATGGTTTAAGCCCCAAGTTCGAAGATGCCATACTGAAAGCATGCGAGCAGATCGTTTGGTGTTTGTTTTTTGGTTTTTTTGGGGGGGGCGGGTTTGTATAATGCTGTACTTAAGTTTTTCCGATCGTGGAGCCAAGGAGCGACCTGGTTTTACTATATACGTGAACTGACGTCAGGGTAAAGAAGCGATCCACGGAAAGACAGTTTGAGCATGGTGTGAGCTTAGATTATCCTTTATCAAATATGGCCCCAGGTTGTTTAACGCTTGTCGCTGTCCAACAACTTCAGACAGTTAGGGAAGCGGCGTCAGAGTTCCCGATGAAGTTTTCGAGCAGTTTTGCGTAGATGGAAACTCTGTCAGATCCGGGGAACGTGGTCATCTCTGATTTTGCGGCTATTTTCAGCATAGCGTTATTGGCTTTTGTGTATGGAGTCCAGTTGAGATCAACGCCGTCTTGCTTGACATTCTTTTCTGTGGGATTCCCATACATGGCAAAGTTTGCCCACATTGTCTGCACTGTGTTGGCAACAGCTCTATCGCTATTGGTGGCCATTATTTTGTCATTGAAGAATACAATTTCAAGATCTTGAGCATGGGCTATTCCCATCCACGCTGGTGCTAAAGAAATGAATGAGAGTAAAACGCTTATTCTGTATTCGTATTCGTAAAAGTAATGCCTTTTCGTGTCGGACCCCTCTGCATTTTGCATTCTTTGAATTTCAAGAGCGGCTGGTAAACCGAAAGTACCTTCTGACAAGCTATTTACAAGGCGGGATCTGATTGCTATAGGATTGGTTGCGTTTTCTAAGTAATAAGATTCGATGAACCTGTCCACAACAGGAACGCTCTCTTTATTAAACGCATATGTTTGATTTGTCTTCCTGAAAGTGGGCAGAAACTCAGAGCGTGTTACTCCGTCCTCATCAGGATCGCTGATCAAGTACGACAGTTCTCCATTTGTGTACCCGCTAAGTGTATCTACTGCATTTATCTTTCCCGCTTTTTGTAGGTTGGAAGGATAGTCTGGCAAGAATCCAAAAGCGGTTTCAACTGTCGGTGTTACCAAAATATCAGTTCCAGTTTCTTCTCTCATGTTATGGTCTTCGTCCAAAATCTGGGAGACCGGTACGTTCCGAAAACAAGTGAGCAAACTTGGGGAATCGGTGTCGTTGCAACCAAGCCGTACACCCATTTCACTTGTATAATTTGATTGTTGAAATTTGGTTGCTGGCCTTTCGACCGCAAAGGAAGCTAACGAAGACCCACTCTCCATAATTGCTCTTTTGAAAAGGCCCTTCGATAACGGAGAAACCAGATGCAGAGACACAGAGGCAGCCCCAGCACTCTGACCAAAGATTGTCACAGAAGCAGGGTCACCCCCAAAGGCTGTAATATGTTTCTGGACCCACTTCATAGCCAGGTTCTGATCTAATAAGCCAAAGTTTCCAGGAATCGTATCGTCACCGCTGGACATAAACCCAAAGGGCCCTAGTCTATAGTTCAGAGTGACCACGACCACGCCATGACGTGCGAGCTGTGATGGGTCTTGCCGGATGCCAGCTCCTCTGTTGTAGGACCCGCCGTGTATCCAGACCATGACAGATAAGGAGCCGTTGATATCGGGAGAGTAGACATTGAGGAACAAACAATCTTCCGACTGGGCGTGATGGGGGTCTGTTTGTTTCCTCTGCCAACATATCGGTGGTAAATCGAGGGCATCTTGACTTCCTGTCCAACTTGGGGCTTCTTGGGGAGCTGCAAGCCGCAGTGAACCTGAGGACGAAATGATCTTTGAAAATGGTTCGTGTTTATTTCTTAATTATCAGATTCTAATCACCAGTCTTTGTGGAGTGGCGGTTAGGCGCTTGTCTGTTGCACGCAGGAGACCTGAGTTCAATTTCTTAGGTTCGATTTTTTAAAATTCGAAGTTCCCGATCTTTCTGCTGAGATTTTATATCCTTCTCAATCCGGGTTAGCCCTGACAGGCAGGGTCGAAAGCCCACCTCCTAACTGATCTGATTTGTGTCGGTGCGGGCGTACACACACCTGTATTAGAACAAAAATAATAAATGTACTGTTTTACTCATTCTTATTTCCTTTCATTCATTAGTTCATTCTTTCTCTATTGTCATATTCATCGGTCAGACTTGTAGAAATTGGGTATTTTTCACGTATAGACATGGGTGAAACAAATCTTTATCATGTATAGCAATCTATTCTCTCAATAAGTGTTCGAACTACCGGCACCACAAAGAAAAACCACACAGTTTATAGTTTATAGTGAAAACCAGGGGCGAAGGCTGACTTGTTTGACAGGGTAATCAAAGTAAAACGGGACTTATAGATATGGCCTGTAGATATCACACAAGAATCTTACTC